CAAGGGGGCTTAGCGACCATGTTTCTGTCCTCTTGGGTTCCATGTTCCCCAGCAGAGCACAGGGACAGGTTCCGCTCACAGAATGTCCTTCGTGACAGATGCGCTCTCAATCCTCCATGCACCCTGATCTGGTCTGATTTTCCTTCCCCCCCGCATAGGATTCTCCCTTCCCAAACCTGAGCTCATCTCCCGCCTGGAACGAGGGGAAGAGCCGTGGGTCCCGGATCTCCAGGCCTGCGAGGAAAGAGAGAGCCTGAGAGGGGCCCGCACAGGTAAGGACTGACACTGAAATCATCTGGGGAATGAAGAAAAAGTTGAGAATCCTTAAAATGTGTTGTGAGTAAGCACCCTCAGTTCTTCCTCATGTCACCCAAGGCAGCACTGTAGTCAGCAGATATTGCTCACGGCTTTCCACCTGTCCTGTTAGCTGCAGGAGTTTCCATTCTGTCTCTCCTTCCCTGTGAGTGTTTGTGTGGGATGTGGAGGCAAAATCCAATTGCTCAGTATTCGCAACTGTAGTGTGTCGCGTTTTCCCTCGGTGCTATTCTTCTTTCTCCCCAGGACAATGACTCCTGTCTGAATTGTCTCTTTCCTGGCAGGTGATGAGCGAGTGAGTGAAAACAAGGAGGAGAATGATCATGAGGAAGTTCCCGGGGAAGTGGAACCACAGGGGACCTCTGTGCAAAGAGCTGAAGGGAATTTTTCCCAATGCTGGCAACAGGGAGAAGCCTGGGGAAATTGGCACAGGTCAGAGAGGCTGCAGGGAAACCACCCAAGGAAGAAAGTGGATGAATTTATTAAATGTGGGGGAGGACACAAGGATCCCATAACCCAGCAGACAATTTCCAAGGAAGACAAAAGCTATGAATGCCTCACTTATGGGGAAGGATTCATTCTGAGATCACATCAGACAATCCATATTGGAGAGAAACCACTTCAATGCTTGGACTGTGGGGAAAGCTTCAATAATCGCTCAGCCCTGAATAACCATGGGAGAAGCCACAGAAGAGAGAAACCCTCTCAATGCCTCGAGTGCGGGAAATGTTTCATTTGGAAGTCAGAACTAATTAGACATCAGCTAAGCCACACAGGAGAGAGACCCCATAAGTGCTTAGACTGTGGGAAAAGTTTCAACTGGAAATCAGTCCTTGTTAATCATCAGGCAATCCACACAGGAGAGAGACCCCATAAGTGCTTGGATTGTGGGAAAAGTTTCAGTCGGAGGTCAGTCCTTGTTAATCATCAGAGAATCCACACAGGGGAGAGACTCCACAAGTGCGTGGACTGTGGGATAAGTTTCACATGGAGGTCAGATCTTATTAATCATGAGAGAATCCACACAGGAGAGAGACCCCACAAGTGTTTAGACTGTGGAAAAAGTTTCACACGGAGGTCAATCCTTGTTAAACATCAGGCAACCCACACAGGAGAGAAACCCCATAAGTGTTTAGACTGTGGGAAAAGTTTCACACGTATGTCAGACCTTGTTAGACATCAGTCAATCCACATAGGAGAGAGATCCCACAAGTGCTTGGACCATGGGGAAATTTCACACAGAGATCACACCTCATTAAACATGAGAGAATCCACACAGAATCTAAACTTCTCTGACACAGGGACAGAAGGTGTTAAGGAAATTGCATGTAATTGACCTAGAGTCAACCTTTAGAGACATGTTAGAAATGTGTGTCCTCATTAGATAAACTAGAGCTTCAAAGGGTAAACGTGTATTGTTAAAGACATGGAAGAAGATGGTAACTGTAATAGTTGTTGTTTAGCAATATCTTGTTAGAGGTTAACAGTGGAAATAAACGGTTCCTGTCTAGGGCTGTATTCTGTGAATTCAGAGATCAAAAGGGAATATTAACATTTAGATAAAACTTGGTTGTAATAATGTCACTGTTTGTCTCCTGAAAATTTGTCATAAACTGTCTATGAACTGCTTTATGGAGAATCACCTGATGTTAATCCATGTAATTAATTACCAGTGATCTTTAGAAAATAGAAGGTTACTTCAAAAGCCTATTGTTCAGCCAAGGACTGTGTGCTGTCGTGACGCTGCAAAGATGATCCTTTCTTCTCTGATCTGCCTAACCTGTATATGGGGGGGGGGAGTGTGAATCGGAAGACGGAGATCTCCAGTCCCATCTGGACCGCCCTGACATTGAAATTGGACATTGGACTAGAACTTGATGAAATGATTCTGTAAAGGACTCTTTGCAATTCTAAAGCATCAGCTGTACAATGAAACTGAGCTAAGGACTCTATGCATGTCTCTGTGTATAATGATCTTTTCACCAGCACACTGATTTCGTGAGCTGTAGCTCACGAAATCTTATGCGCAAATAAATTGGTTAGTCTCTAAGGTGCCACAAATCCTCCTTTTCTTTCTTCTTTTAATAAATCTTAGTTGAGTCAATAAGAATTGGCTGTAAGCGTGTATTTGGGTAAGAACTGAAGTATTCCTTAACTTGGTGGATAATGTATAGGATCCTTTGGGATTGGTGGAACTTTTTAATGTGATGAATAAGATTTTCAGCAGTCCCCATCATGTTGCAGTGGGCTGTCTGGGAGGGAGCCCGAGGCGGGGTTGCTTTAAGGGAGCTGTGCTTTGGCCTCTGTGTAGCAGTACGGTATTGTAGAAGCTGCTTTGTTGCTGGCTTGGTGAATCTAAGTACTGGAATAGCCACCAGTTTTGAGGATTGTCGGCCCCATTCTTTGCAGTTTGCCCTAACTGAGCGATCTCATTGTGGCCACCCGGGATCCAGGTCACAACTTCATAAATGCCTTGCCTGTGGGGAAAGTTTCATTCAGCCATCGTGGCTCCCAACCCCCTGTGGATGGGGGGGGATGCCCTGCATTTCCCCAGCCCACGGTGGCGGGGGGCGGGGGGAAATCCCCTGCTGCTCCGCAGCCACTTCGGGTGGTGGGGAAACACCTCCGCAGCTCACAAGCCACCACTGGGCACATGCCACCTGGCCTGGCTGCTCCCTCTTTACTCACCTGAGAGCTGAGGCAATCAGAGCTTGGACAGGAGACAGGTGTTTAGGACAGTCAGCATCTCCATGCTCTGGAACGGCTCTGAATGAAGCCAGGCAGGACTCTGGTGCAGTGTGTCTCCCTCAGGGCACATTCTCACCAGGGCAAGAGATCAGAGGAGTCTTTATAGTTCACTCCCATGGGACAAGAGTGTGGCCACTTGGTCTATGTTCCTGATAAAGGGGATCACCAAGTAGCCAGGCCAATGCTCTTCGTGCGCACAGCAGGATCTACCATGACACTATCCAGCCTTCGCCCTCCTGCTCATGAAGGATGTCCTGTCCTTTGCAGGAGAGAGAAGAGGAGCATGTGGGTTACACCTGGACTATAGAATACTTTAAAAATGTTCAAGAAGTGATCAAAGATCTGATGATTTATAGTGCTGGGGGGGAAGGTCTCCTGCACTGGTCTGTGGCTGTTCTGACTGCCAATGTCAAAATTAAGGCTACCTTACTTCTGAATGAGATCATCCACACGGGGGTTTAAAGCTCTGGAATTCATGTTGATTAACTTAACACCTTTAAGATCAGACCACAAAGACAAACCCTGTAGAAGTAAAGGGAAGGGAATAAGAGAAATTGGTTAGGGGGGCTGGGGGAGGCCACTAGTTGCATATTAAAAAATATCTAGGTGCCTTGAACCTTGAAATTTCTGGCCATTAGTGAATATTTGGGAACCAAGTTCTATACACAAATGGGACATGAGAAAAAACACTAGGTGCTGGACAGAGAGAGAAAATAACAATTGGCTAAAGCAAAGGAAATTGAAGGAGTTTTCAGACCAGCCCATGTAATTAGTCAGCACTGAACTCAAATTACAACATTGCAACAGAAACAGGAACTGGTACAGTGTCACCGTGAGATGTGATCAGAACTATTAATATTTCCCATGATTATTTGCCATTAAAAATAGGAATTCCAGGGCACAGTGACATCTCTTCCCCAACGCTAATGAAGTTTAGGATTTAGAGCTTGGAATAATAAAAACGAGTATTTTTATAAGGAACGAGTCAAGGAGTGAAACTGCCCAGACTGGATTCCAAGGGGAGTCAAGCTCAGAGGGACAGGGACAGGGGCTAGGACACATGGATGAAGCGCTGGGCGACTTTACGCAGACACAGAAACTGAGACCCGGATTCTTTTAAACACTCAAAGCAGGTGTGACAGTGAGATCTGTGTGTGTGTGTGGGGGGAGGGGGGGCTCCTGTAAATATTTCACTCGATCAAGTCCCCTCTAGCATTTCAGTTACATCTTACACAGGGGGGAGAGCAGCCCTGTCCAGGCACCGTGATGCACTGGGCCTAAGGACACGGCCCTGGGAAAAGGGAGCTGAGATCCTGGGAAAGGGGGGGAGGAGAAACCCCAGTCCCTATTTTTGCAACTCCTGCAGCTGGCTCAACCCATCTGGGGGCAAACTTTATTCCCTCTGCCACCCCTCATTCCTGAGTTCCCACCTCCGCCCAGCCTGGCAGGGCCTGTGCCCCTGCTCTCACCCCCCTCTGCTCCCCACGTGTCTCTGTCCCGGGCGCCCCGCACACACCGGGGGCTGGCGGCAGCTTTCCCGGGCCCGGGGCAGGGAATCGCAGCCGGCTCCGCGGGGAGCAGCCCGGGGCCAAACCCGCCCCCTGCAGCCCGGGGGTGCCGGGGGGGGCGGGTCTCTCTTACCTTCCCTCCGAGCGGGGCCCCCCGGGGCAGGGGCCCTGGCCGGGCTGGGGGCTCTGCCCTGGGAGAGGCTCCCGGGGAGCAGCGGGCAGGGCCCGGCTGGAGGTTCCCCTCTCCCGGCTGCAGCCCGGGCTCCGGGCTCCCAGCACCAGCCGCCGGGGCTCGGGGATCTCGCCGGGAGCCAGAGTCCCCGCAGCGGCTGCGAGTCACTTCCTGGGCCAGGCCTGAGCCCCGCGATCGCTCCCCCCAGAGCCGCCCCCCAGCCGCTCCCGGGTCCTAGCGATCAACCCAGCGAAGGATCAGCATCCCTGTGCCCGGCTCCTGTTACACTCACAGACTCCGGGGTCACAAGGGACCATCATGAGCATCTACCTCCGGAAACACAAACAGCCACCTCCTCGTTAGTATAGTGGTGAGTATCCCCGCCTGTCACGCGGGAGACCGGGGTTCGATTCCCCGATGGGGAGTGTAGTTCATTTTTGATGGAACAAGGAGCAATGGTCTCAAGTTGCAAGGGGGACATTTGATATTTGGAAATACTAGTTCACTCGGAGGATGGTGAAGCACTGAAATGCTAGGGAGGTGGTGGAATCTCCAGCCTTAGAGGTTTTTAAGATCCGGCTTGACAAAGCCCTGGCTGGGATGATTTAGTTGGGGTTGGTCCTGCTTTGAGCAGGAGATCGGACTAGATGACCTCCTGAGGCCTCTTCCAACCTTAATCTTCTATAAGGTGACCAGATGTCTTGATAAAATCGGGACTGTCCTGATATTTAGTTGTTTGTCCTGCATCCTGTCCGATGTACGGTCGGGACACCATTTATCCCGATATTTTGCTTCGGTGGCACTCTGTTTTTTTTTTTTTTTTTTTGCTTGGGGTGGCAAAAAACTTAGAGCAGGCCCTGGTGGTGGTGGTGGGGGGGGGGGGTGAGCCTGTTGCTGCCCCCCCATGTGTCCTGATATTTTGTTCTTGTCATCTGGTCACCCTAATCTTCTATGATTCCATCACCAAATTTTTCATTGCCTCAGGCCTGGTCTACACTACAAGTGTATGTCAGATTTAGCAGCGTTAAATCTGAATTAACCCTGCACCCGTCCACACAACAAAGCCATTTTTTCGACATAAAGGGCTCTTAAAACCGATTTCTGTACTCCTCCCCAACGAGGGGATTAGCACTGAAATCGACATTGCTGTTTCGAATTAGGATTAGTGTGGATGCAATACGAAGGTATTGGCCTCTGGGAGCTATCCCACAGTGCACCATTGTGACCACTCTGGACAGCACTCTGAACTCGGATGCACTGGCCAGGTGTACAGGAAAAGCCCCGGGAACTTTTGAAACTCATTTCCTGTTTGGCCAGGCGAGCTCATCAGCACAGGTGACCATGCAGTCCCAGAATCAAAAAAGAGCTCCAGCATGGACCGAACAGGAGATACTCGATCTGATCGCTGTATGGGGAGAGGAATCCGTGCTATCAGAACTAAGTTCCAAAAGACGAAATGCCAAAACATTTCAAAAAATCTCAGAGGCCATGAGGGACAGAGGCTACATCAGGGATGCAACACAGTGCCCCGTGAAACTTAAGGAGCTCAGACAAGCGTACCAGAAAACCAAAGAATCAAACGGACGCTCTGGGACAGAGCCCCAGACATGCCGCTTCTACGCTGAGCTGCATGACATTCTAGGGGGGGCCGCCACCACTACCCCACCCCTGTCCGTGGACTCCGAGGATGGGATACTCTCCACCATGGCTGAGGATTTTGCAGATGGGGAAGATGAGGAGGAGGAGGACGAGCTTGGGGAGAGCACACAGCACACTGTTCTCCCCGACAGCCAGGATCTTTTTATCACCCTGACTGAAATACCCTCCCAACCCAACGAAGCCGGAGAAGGGACCTCTGGTGAGTGTACCTTTTTAAATATAATACATGTTATAAAAGCGAGCATTTTTTAATGATTAAGTAGCCCTGAGGACTTGGGATGCATTCGTGGCCAGTACTGCTACTGGAAAAGTCTGTTAACATGTCTGGAGATGGAGCAGAAATCCTCCAGGGACATCTCCATGAAGCTCTCCTGGGGATACTCTAAAAGCCTTTGCAGAAGGTTTCTGGGGAGGGCAGCCTTATTCCATCCTCCATGGTAGGACACTTTACCATGCCATGCTAGTAGCAAGTAATCTGGTATCATTGCGTGACAAAGCCTGGCAGCATATGGTCCCGGTGTTTGCTGGCATTCAAGCAACATCCATTCTTTATCTCTCTGTGTTATCCTCAGGAGAGTGATATCGTTCATGGTAACCTGGTTGAAATAGGGGAATTTGATTAAGGGGACATTCAGAGTGGCCATTCCGACTGAGCTGTTTGCCTCTGGCTGAAAAGAAATCCTCCCTGCAGTTAACCACATGGTGGGAGGGGGGGCCATTGGCACTGAGCTGTTCGCATTTGGCTAGCAGGGATCTTCCCTGATACCAGCCAGGCGGTGGGGGTAGGGGAAAAGCGATCATCCCAGAGAATTGGATGGGGAGAGGGGGTTAGTTTGGTTTCTGCTGCTGCACGTTGACAGGAAAACTGCAACAGTAAATGGCCAACTCAACGGGCTTTGCTTGGTATGGGAAAGGAGGGGGCTGCTGTTATGAAGGTTGCAGAAGCTGAAAGACTATGGCTTACCATGGCCGCCTGCAAGCCAAATTCTGTTGCCCGGCCCTGCATGTGTGATCTCTAACACCAAAGCCACAGGCACTCAATATAAGAAGCAAAATGTGACCTTGTACCAAAATCACATGTGCTGTGTAATGTGAATAGTGTTGTTCACCGTGAAAGAGTATAGCCATTGTTCTGTAAAATGTATCTTTTTAAATACTTCACTCCCTTTTTTTCCTCCAGCAGCTGCAAATGTTTCAAGCCTCCCTCCTCCGTCCCAGAGGCTATCTCAGATAAGGCGGCGAAAAAAACGCACACACGATGACATGTTCTCTGAGCTCATGCAGTCATCCGGCACTGACAGAGCTATGTGGAGGGACACAATAGAATAGTACAGGATGGTGGCCGATGAACGTGAGGATAGGTGACTGCAGGAAGATCAGAGGAGGCATGAGGAAATGCTGGGGATACTGCGGGATCAAATGGACATGCTCCGATGTCTGGTGGAGGTTCAGGAACGGCAGCAGGATCACAGACTGCTGCTGCAGACCCTGCTTAACCTCCTCCCTCCTCCCCAAGTTCCATAGCCTCCTCACCCAGATGCCCAAGAACGTGTCGGGGGAGGCTCCGGGCACCCAACCATTCCACCCCAGTGGACAGCCCAAGCAACAGAAGGCTGGCATTCAACAAGTATTAAAGTGGCCTTTTCCTTCCCTCCTACCCTCCTCCCACACCCCACCGGGCTACCTTGAGAGTTATCTCCCTATTTTTATAATCAATTAATAAAGAATACATGTTTTTTAAATGATAGTGACTTTATTTCCTTTGCAAGCAAGCTATGATCGAAGGCGGGAGGGTGGGTGGCTAACAGGGAATTAGAGTCAACCAAGGGGCGGGTTTTCATCAAGGAGAAACAAACAGAAGTGTCACACAGTACCCTGGCCAGTCATGAAACTGGATTTCAAAGCTTCTCTGATGCGCACCACTTCCTGCTGTGCTCTTCTAACTGCCCTGGTATCTGGCTGCGTGTATTCAGCGGCCAGGTGATATGCATCAACCTCTCACCCCGCCATAAACATCTCCCCCTTACTCTCACAGATATTGTGGAGCACACAATAAGCAGCAATAACAATGGGAATATTGGTTTCACTGAGGTCTGAGCAAGTCAGTAAACTGCGTCAGCGACCCTTTAAAAGTCCAAATGCACATTCTACCACCATTCTGCACTTGCTCAGCCTATAGTTGAACAGCTCCTGACTACTGTTCAGGGTGCCTGTGTACGGCTTCATGAGCCATGGCATTAAGGGGTAGGCTGGGTCCCCAAGGATAACTATAGGGATTTCAGCATCCCCAATGGTTATTTTCTGGTCTGGGATGTAAATCCCTTCCTGCAGCCATTTAAACAGACCAGAGTTCCTGAAGACGCGAGCGTTATGAACCTTTCCCGGCCATCCCACATTGATGTTGGTGAAACGTCCCTTGTGATCCATCAGTGCTTGCAGCACCATTGAAAAGTACCCCTTGCGGTTTATGCCCTGGTGGTCCGGTCCCAAGATAGGGATATGCGTTCCGTCTATAGCCCCACCATGGTTAGGGAATCCCATTGCAGCAAAGCCATCTAGTATGACCTGCACCTTTCCCAGAGTCACTACCTTTGGTAGCAGCAGCTCAGTGATTGCATTGGCAACTTGCATCACAGCAACCCCCACAGTAGATTTGCTCACTCCAAATTGATTACCGACTGACCGGTAGCTGTCTGGCGTTGCAAGCTTCCACAGAATTATTGCCACTTGCTTCTCAACTGTGAGGGCTGCTCTCATCTTGGTATTCTTGCGCTTCAGGGCAGGAGAAAGCAAGTCACAAAGTGCCATGAAAGTGCCCTTATGCATGCGAAAGTTTCGGAGCCACTGGGAATCATCCCAGACCTGCAACACTATGCAATCCCACCACTCTGTGCTTGTTTCCCGGGCCCAGAATCGGCGTTCCACGGCATGAGCCTGCCCCATTAACACCATGATCTCAAAATTGCGGGGAATGCGGTTTTAGAGAAAAGTGTGTTCATGTCCTCATCACCGCGCTGCCGTCGCCTCCTCGCCTGGTTTTTCTGGTGCTGGTTCTGCATACACTGCACGATAATGCGCGAGGTGTTTACAATGCTCATAACTGCTGCGGTGAGCGGAACGGGCTCCATGCTTGCTGTGCTATGGCGTCTGCTCCTGCTCGGGCAATCCAGGAAAAAACGATCGTTTGCCGTTGCTCTGGCGGAGGGAGGGGCGACTGATGACATGGCTTCCAGGGTTGGCTTCCAGGGAATTAAAATCAACAAAGGGGGTGGCTTTGCGAGAAACAGAATGGCCCCCTCAAGGATAGAACTCAAAACCTCGAGGATAGAACTCAAAACTGGGTTTAGCAGGCCGTTGATTTCACGGAGGGAGGGAGGAGAAAATGAATACAAAACAAATCTGGTCTATTTCTTGTTTTGAGCCACTACATCTATCTTTGTACATCTTGCTGGCAGCAGACTGTGCCGTACGACTGCTAGCCATCGTCATCTCCTGGGTGCAGATTAAAAGACAGTGCACTGCCGGTAGGTGCTGCCTCGCCTCCCTCACCCCCTCTGCCTCTTCTCCCTTCCCCCCTGCATTCAGCCACCTCCTCGAAGGTCACCAGCATCTGAAACAGGAGTCCCACACTGACTAAGTGCTTCCCCTGCCAGAATCCACTAGTCACAGCGGGGAAAAACAAAACATTGAAGCTCTGGGAGGGCTGGAGAAGCAGAAACCCACCCCCACCCTGCTCAGAGCAGCCAGGAGGCTTCAGGGGGTGGGAGAAGGTGAGAGCTCCTTGTGCCCCCCAGCACACGGAGCAGGGCAGGGTCTTCTCATTTCCCACATGCCTGCCAGCCACAGGCTGACACGGGAAGCAGAGCTCTGAGCCAGGGACGGGGACAGGAATCCCGACAGCTTCCCTTCATATTTCATATTTCACAGGAGCCTCTGCCCAGTGGGGTCAGGCTCCAGCACTGGGAGTCTGGTCAGTTTTCCCAGCCCTGCCCAGAGGGGTTGGGTCCTGTTTTAGAAATTGGGGAATGTTTATAACACCCTTCTCCCTGCCTCTCCCTCACGTCATCCAGCTGCTCCCTGAAAATCCCCTACCTGAGCTGGCTCCATCACAGCCATTTCCCTTCCCTGTCCCCTGGAAGACAGGATGATCTGGAGTGAAATCTAGATGTGTTTCTTCAGCCTGTCACGGTGAGAGGGGCGATGCGGGAGGTTACAGAAGGGGCTTGAGTCCAAGTCACACCCTGATTCCCCCCAGGCTCTCTCCCTGCAGATAGACGCTCTGGGCTCTGCCATGCTGGGAACAAACCCAGTTAGTTTATTACCACACAGGCCAGGCCCCTCCCAGCAGAACTAAACTCTCCAGGGACCCTTTTAAACCTCCCCGTAACAGCATCTCTGAGTGAAATGCTGGAAAAAGAGCAAAATCAAAGGAGTCACTTCAGGGTACTGCCCCACAGTGTACTGTGACCCCCTCTAGCTCTCCCTCTTCTCCCTAAGTAGTGCGGTGCTCAGCAGAGCGAGCAACTGGCTTTTCCTCTCTCAGCTCCTGCCCTTGTTCCCAGGAGAGTCAGTCTGCTCAGGTGGATGCAGGGAATAGATCTGGGCAGAGCTGGGAACCTCCTCCCCACTTGTTGCTCCTGCTGCCCCTTACAGTCTCTCCACTCTCCCTTTTTATCTTCTTCCCTCTCCCTGGGAGAACGGGTGACTGCCCCATTGACATGGACCTTTGTCTCATTAAGCAGATCAGTCACTGACACTGGTAACGGGGGTTGAACCTGGCTGTGTCACTGAGGGCAGCAGCTCTGGGACTCACAGACACACGGGGAACCCTCTCCCCTTGTAGGCCAAACTCACCAGCCGGTCCCTGAAAGTGGCCCTTTGTGCAGAGTCAGTTCCCTGCCCGGCTCCAGCCCTTTCCCCAGGTCTCTCCATCCCCTGCAGGCTCAGGCTCAGGTACTCTAGGGGCTGGCTCCAGCCACTGGTTGCAGCCCCTGGGCTGGTCTCAGAGGGGTATGAGGAAGCGGGAATGTTCTTAATGTTTTTTTCTGAATATTGTGTGTGCCTCCCTTTTCCCATGTGTTACTCAAGTATCGGGGATGGGATACAGATGTGTGATGATTGTGGACATCCCTAGAGGGCAGGTGTGACATGCAGACTGGCTGCCTGGGCACAGAGAATGGCTGACACTGTATCCTGGCAAGTGATGGCTGGAGTCCGTCCTCTGCAAGGAGCCAGCCAAAGGTGTTGGAGAACAAAGAGAGAGGGGGAGGCCAGGTGACCTGTTTTCCTAGGAAGGAGAGAAAGCACAGCGGAGGAGCAGCTGGGCATCACTCAGGATGAGGGGCTGGAAGCGCATCAGTCTTCTGATTTGGGACTCAGCGGGGAGAGCCCAGGGCTCTGGACTCTGGATTCCCTTCGAGCCAGACTTTGCTGAATGCTCCTGATTTCTGTGCTAACAAGCTCTGTTCTACGCTGTGTTCCCAACGACTAACAAACCCTTCTGTTTTCCAAGCCGGCTGAGAGTCATGGCTGACTGTGGAGGTAGGGTGCATGGCCCCTGTGAGGGGTGTGTCAGGCTTCCCCAGGTGTCTCGCCCAGGTGGACTCCCTGCGAGGAGCTCGCGGTGTGAACAAGGGTTCTGAAAATGCCAGTGTTAGACCCAGGAAGCTTCTTGCCCTGGTGAGAGTGTGCTCCGAGGGGTGACACACTGCACCAGAATCCTGCCTGGCTTCATTCAGAGCTGACCCAGGGTACAGAGGCTGTGACTGTGTGACACAGGGCTGTCGTAAACACCTACCTCCCCTCCAAGCTCTGGTTGCCTCAGCTCTCAGATGAGTAAAGAAGGAGCAGCCGAGCCCAGTGGCTGGCCTGCAACGAAAACATCTGAATCAGCTTTGGAAACAAATACAGAGCATGTCTGGTAACTGCCCCTCCCTACTTCTGGATGCTTTGGAGCAAGATCAGCCCCGCGCTCTGCACCTGTGCTGAGACACAACATGACAATGTGTGAAGTGAGTTTAATATGTGTTTGTTACACCTGCCAGCCTGTGCCTCACACCTTTGTGGGCATGGCAGTCAGAGTCACCGACATGACCATCCCCTTGTACGACAGGGTAACAGACAATGCTGTCTGTCCAAGTTACATTTTCGTGGCAATGCCTAATTCGGAAGAGATACAGTTTAGCTACCCTGTGGTTAGCGAGCAGGGAGATGCTGAGCTCAGAGAGTCTTTACAGTTTAAAGCACCAAAACTGTGGATCAATCGGCTCATTCTCCTGGGACAAGAGTGCCCCCACCCCTTGGTCTGTGTTGCTTATAAAGGGGATCCCTGCACAGCACGGCACAGCAGAGTCTGCCATGACACTATCCGGCCTTCATTCTCCTGCTCATGAAGGATGTCCTGTCCTTTGCAGGAGAGACAGAGCGGAGGAGTGAGATCACCTTAAAATTCAACCTCAAGCCCTTTCATGAAATTTTGTCAGGCCAAAGCTGTGAAATATCATCATGCCGTTTCTACACAAGGCAACACTCAGAGAAGGTGAGATGAGCACCCCGCTGCTTCGCGCCTTCTCTTTGGACTTGAAACATCGAATGTGGGTTGCACCTGGACTATCCAAGCTTTAAACATGTTCAAGAAGAGATCAAAGGCCTGACAATTTACAGTGTTGGGGGGAAGGTCTCCTGCACTTGTCTGTGGTTGCCCTGACCGCCACTGTCGAAATTAAGGCCACCTTACTTCTGAATAAGAGCGTCCACAGAGGGGTTTGGAGCCCTGGGATTTATTTGCATTAACTTTGCACTGTTAGCATCAGACCATTCAGACAAGCCGTGAGGAAGGAAAGGAAAGGGAACACGGGAGGTGGTAGGAGAGTGCTAACTTTTTAGGTTTTGGTGCTAACTCTTTAGTTTTAAATGTTTTCATTTCTTTTCCATGACGCCCCCACAAACAGGGGCAGACATTCAGAGGCAGCACTTGGCAAAGGAACAGGAGTAGTAGCCACCCAATCCGGATCAGAGTTTTCAGGCCATGGGTCATTTACCATCGGAATCAGCAGTAGAGTCTGTGTCCATAAGAAAATGGGCGTATTTACCATGAGGCAATTAACCTGCATTACTAGCCCACTGCGAAAACATAAAGGAAAGGGTGAAGTCAGCACCGTGTCCCCTGAGCTGACCAATGAAAAGGAGAAACAGAGCAATTCCTTTTAAAAATGATTTGACTTTGGCCATACAAATCGGTACACGTGCCAGAAGGAAGAACATCCCTGAAATGGATCAAAACAAAGAATGTAGCATCCATAAAAGGCTGAGAATTTAAATAGGCCATTAGAAATACAAACAATGTGGTAGAAAAATCTGCATCGATAATGCAATAAATGAAGTCAGAGAAAAGTCAAGTGGGCACTTCCGAGTGTGCAGGATGGGGGGTTACTTACGGAAATAAGGTTTTAAAATCAATTTTCAATTGCAAGTGGGGGAGGGGAATCACATGTTCCTGGAAGTGTAAAATGGCATCAAATGTTACAGGATTATACAACCATCCTAGATATAGGGACTTTGGAAGGGGTAGCAGTAAAACTATGAAGCTAGTACACCCCAAAGGCTCAGACACAAAAAGATAAGACAAAAACAAAACGTATTCATTTCTTTATTTAAATTCTAGACTGTTGGGTGCATAACTCACGGGGTTTGAATTCTTGGGGTTGTCAATCTGTCTTGGGGTTGCATATCTATGCTTAGTAAAAAAAATACCACTTTTGAGAAGCCCTGTATAGGAGACACTCTAAGGCCCTTAGGGACAGATTTTCAAAAGGATTTAGGCCACTAGTGGCATATTACAAAGTATCTAGGTGCCTTGAAACTTTTGGCCTTTAGTGAATATTTGGGAATCAAGTTCTGTAGACAAGTGGGACATGGGATAAAGCACTAGGGTGCTGGACAGAGAGACAAAGTAATTGGCTAAAGCAAGACCCACTGGTGGATCAAAGGAAATTGAAGGAGGTTTGAGACAGCACTGAACTCAAATTACAACATTTCAATAGAAACAGGAACTGTTACACTAGACACATGGGGAGATGTGGTAGCTGATAGGGATGTAAAAGCTTAACAGGGGTCTAGAGTGAAGGTGGGGCCTGGCCCAAGTGTCCTTCTCCTCATCTCCATGGAAGGGGGATCCCGCCTGGGAGGGGAATGGAGAGGGGGGAACTTCAGCCAGGCAGAGGGAGCATCTGGAGGAGTTTCTCTGTCTCCCTTCCCCCACCTCTGGCCCATCAGCTCAGCAGCAAGGGCTGCAACAGGGAGGAGGGGCTGATGGGGGCTTCTCCTCCTCTGCCTGGGGTTTGCTTACACCAGGCAGAGCCAGAGGGTCACTGACCAGCTGATGCTCGGCTGCTGCTGGATCCTCACCCCAGCAAGAGCCAAAAGCCCCTGATGTGTGTGGGAATTAGGAAATGGGTTTGTTTCTGTGGCTTAGTCAGGACCCTGAGAGAATTTCCCTGCTGTGTGGGGGAGTCTCTGATGTCCCACATGGCGTTAGCTCCACTTGGAGCATTTTCCACACTGAGAACATCTCAGAGGTTTCTTCCCTGTGCAGATTTGCAGATGCCTGATACTCCGGGAGCACCAAATGAAGATTCCCCCACATTCAAGGTCTCTCTGTTGTGTCAGTCACTGATATGTGAAGTCAAATTGAATCTTTTCCAGCAGTCAGGCTATTTCTGGGGTCTCTCACCCTTGTGGATTTTCTGATGTTTGGTGAGCTCCGAGCTCTTACTGAAGCTTTTCCCACACTCAAGGCATTTATAAGGTCTCTCCCTCATGTGGATTCTCCCATGTCGAGTAAGGTGTGAGTGCCGACTGAAAGTTTTCCCACAGTCCAAGCATTTATGGGGTTTCTCTCCCGTGTGGGTTTTCTGATGTGTATTAAAGGTTGTTTTGTGGTGGAAACTTTTCCCACACTCAAGGCATTTATAGGGTCTTTCTCCTGTGTGTATTCTCCCATGTTTAGTAAGAGATGAACTTGCCATAAAACTTTTCCCGCACTCAAGACATTTATAGGGTCTTTCTCCAGTGTGGATTCTCCCATGTATAGTAAGGGATGAATTTAGCAGAAAACTTTTCCCACACTCAAGGCATTTATAGGGTCTTTCTCCAGTGTGGATTCTCCCATGCACAGTGAGGGATGAATTTTGTACAAAACTTTTCCCACACTCAAGGCATTTATATGGTCTCTCTCCTGTGTGGATTCTGCTATGTTCAAGAAGGTATGAGCTCTGACCAAAACTTTTCCCACAATCCAAACATTTATATGGTCTTTCTCTTGTGTGGATTTTCCTATGATTAATAAGTCTTGAGCGCTGACTGAAAGTTTTCCCACAGTCCAAGCATTTATGGGCTTTCTCTCCTGTGTGGGTTTTCTGATGTGTAGTAAGATTTGATCTCTGAATGAAACTTTTCCCACACTCAAGGCATTTATAGGGTTTTTCTCCAGTGTGGATTCTCCTATGTATAGTAAGGGATGTATTTTGTACAAAACTTTTTCCACACTCAAGGCATTTATAAGGTCTTTCTCCTGTGTGGATTCTCCCATGTTTAGTAAAGGATGAACTTGTCATAAAACTTTTCCCACACTTAAGACATTTAAAGGGTCTTTCTCCAGTGTGGATTCTCCCATGTATAGTAAGGGATGAACTTGCCATAAAACTTTTCCCACACTCAAGGCATTTATACGGTCTCTCTCCTGTGTGGATTCTGCTATGTTCAATAAGTCTTGAGCACTGACTGAAAGTTTTCCCACAGTCCAAGCATTTATGGGCTTTCTCTCCCTTGTGGGTTTTCTGATGTGTATTAAAGGTTGATTTGTGGTGGAAGCTTTTCCCACACTCAAGGCATTTATAGGGTCTTTCTCCCATGTGGATTTGCCCATGATTATTGAGGAATGAACTTTTTCTAAAACATTTTCCACACTCAAGACATCTATAGGGTCTCTCTCCTGTGTGCATTCTCTGGTGTATAATACGACAGGACTTCTTATTGAAGCTTTTCCTACAGTCTAAGCATTTATAGGACTTCTCTCCTGTCTGGGTTCTCCAATGTGTAAGAAGGGTTGCAGTGAAACGGAATCTTTTCCCACAGTCAAGGCATTTGTAGAGTTTCTCTTCATTGTGACTTGTCTGCTGGACTGTGGCTTCCTTGGCATCCTTGCATCCTCCGCTACATTGAGTGGATTCATCCAGTTTCTTCCCGGGATAGTTTCCCAGCTGCATCTCTGATCTGTGTTGATCTCCACAGGCATTGCCCTGTTCCCAGCCCTGGGAAAAATTCCCTTCAGCTCTTCTAAAAAATGTCTCCTGCGGTTCCACTTTCTCAGGACCTTCCTGCTGCTGATTCTCCTCCTTGTTCTCACTCACTGTCCTATCACCTGCTGGGAGAGAGAGAATTCAGACAGGAGTCACTACCTGTGCCCGGGGAGAAAGGACAGAAAGGGGAATATCAAACAGGGAAAACACAACACAGTGACTGTTGGGGAGATGGAGACACTGGATTCTGCCTCCACATCCCACCCAAACACTCCCAGGGAAGTCAAGTCAGGGAGGAAATTCCCAACAGCTAACAGGATGGGTGGGAAGCTGTGACTGATCTGTGCCTTCATGATACGACACCTGCTGACTGCAGCCCTGACCTGGGTGAGAAGGGGCAGAACTGAGGGCTCTCGCTCATGGCACATTTTGGGAGTCCCAGCTTTTTCCTTCACTCACCTGATGGTTTCTCTGCCAGTTTTCCTGACTCCTCACCTGTGCGGGTGCCTCTTGGGTTCTCCCTTTCCTTGGAGTCCTGGAGATCTGGGACCCACGGCTCTTCCCCTCGTTCCAGCCGGGCGATCAGGTCAGGTTTGGGAATTGGGACTCCTGCGCAGGTGGTGAAATCAGGAAAGGTCAGGGTCAATGGAGCATTGATAGTTTGTCACAAGAAACATTCCTGGAGTTTAACCTGACCCTACATGGGATTGTGGTAACTCAGACCCCTTGGGAACAGCAGACATCTGGGGGCGGGTGTGTGTTGTTACATCCTCAGGATAGTTGTGCTCTGCGGGACTTGCTGAGACACACACATCTCATGTGTTTAACTCCTGCCTATTTCCAAGCCTGCAGAACTTAGAGCCCTCCGCACAGCTGGAGCTAGTCCCAGGAAAGAAGGCGAACGGTGTGTGAAGGAGAAATAACATAGGCAGGACAATACCCTGCTTCTGGTTCCTTGAAAGCTGGAGAGATGGGGATGAGTTAACATGTCTATTATGTTTCTGACTCTCCTGTTCCCTTGAAGAGGGTATGGAGATCAAAGTGTCTCCCATAGAGGAACTGTGGACAATGTGACCCTGGCCCCCTAAACCAACTGGCCAGGGAAGAACCTGATCAGATTCAGACACTCAGGCCCCACGGCTTCTAATAACCGAGGGGACGGGACTCCCTTACCCAGCGAGGTCACCGTCTCGTAGTTCTCCTGCATGATGTCCCTGTAGAGGGCTCTCTGAGTGGGGTCCAGCAGAGCCCCCTGCCCCTGGGTGAAATACACAGCCACCTCCTCGAAGGTCACCGGCATCTGAAACACCAAGAGTCCCCCACTCAGAACCTGCTGCCTCAGCCACAATCCCACTAGTCACAGGGGAGGAGACCCAGAAAAGCTGAATTCTCCCTGCACCCTGCTCAAGAGGCTTCAGGGGGTGAGAGAAAGTGAGAGCTCCTTGTCGTCACCCCCAGCACACAGAGAAGGGGAGGGTCTTCCCATTTCCCACTCGCCTGCCAGCCACAGGCTGAGATGGGAAGCAGAGCTCTGAGCCGGGGACAGGAATCCCAACAGCTTCCCTTCGTATTTCACAGCAGCCTCTGCCCAGTGGGGTCAGGTACCAGCAGTGGGAGTCTGGTCTGTTTTCCGAGCCCCTCCCTGAAAATCCCCTACCTGAGCTAGCTCCATCACAGACATTTCCCTTTCCTGTCCCTTGGAAGATGGGACGATCTGGAGTGAAACGTGGACGTGATTCCTCAGCCTGTCGGGGCAATAGGGGCGATGGGGGAGGTTACAGAAGGGGCTTGAGTCCATGTCACACCCCGATTCCCCCCAGGCTCTCTCCCTGCAGACAGACGCTCTGGGCTCTGCTATGCTGGGAAAACCCTCAGTCACTTTATCGCAACCCAAACCCGGACCCTCACCCCAGCACTGAACCCCTGAGACACTTTTAACCCTCCTACCTCCCCCCCCCCCCCCACCAGGGACAGAGTCTGTAAGACAAATGCTAGAAAAGAGCAGAATCAAAGGAGCCACTTTGGGGGATCCCCCCTGACATTGACCCTGAGGGCAGCATGTCCCCCCAGCAGTGCAGGGACTTGGCCAGGGCAGGAACTGACTTCTCCTCCCTCAGCTCCTCCCCTTGTGCCCAGGAGAGTCAGTCTGCCCCTTTCTGTCTGGGGGATGCAGGGAAGGGATCCAGGCAGGGCTGGGAGCTGGGAACCTCCCTCCCCACTTCCTGCTCCTGTTGCCCCTTTCAATCTCCCCTCTGCCCTTTCTGTCTCCTTCCCTCCCCCCCTCTGCCTGGGAGAACTGGGGACTGTGCCGTTCCCATGGGCGTTTGCTCTCCAGGGTGAGCCGGGCTGGGTCACTGAGGGCAGCAGCTCGGGGACCCCGCAGACCCATGAGGAGCCCCTCCCCCTCCGGTAAAACTCATCAGCAGGTCCCTGAAAGGGGCCCTTTGTGCAGAGTCACTGTCCTGCCGGGCCCCAGCCCTGTCCCCCCGGGACTCCCCATCCCCTGCAGGCTGCGGCTCAGGGGCTGGTGTGGGCAGAGCCCGGGGCTGCCACGGGGGCTGATTCCAGGCTCAGTGAAAGTCCCCACCCGGGCTGAGCCTGGGGGGCTGTGGGGTGGGGGTTAATGAAGATCTGTCCCTGGCCCAGCCCCACCGGGGGAGCAGCAGTTTCACACTCTGGGCTCTCAGGTAGGCAGCAGTGTCTGAGCCAGGGAGCTCAATTCAAGGGCTCTGACATCAGGAGCAGAGACAGGTACCAACCTCCTCCTCTCCCTCAGCCAGACCCGGAGCCCTCTGGTGGCAGCAGCTCATGCCTGAGCCTCCCTGTCCTGCCCCTGCAGCCCCCAGGGACAGGCAGGCGGAGGCGGATCCCACTGGCCCAGGCGCGCTCAGTCCCTGCCAGAGCCAGCAGTGACTCCGGTCTGACTCCGGTGTGGCTGAGATCGGAATCCTGCCCGGAAATCAGACCAGGGCCCTGGGCAGCCCCCAACACTCAGGAGACACAGACCCCACCAGCATGTGTGTGTCTGACAATAATACACGGGAAACAGGGAGTGTGTGTGTGTGGGGGGGGGGCGGAAACTGGATATTTGCTTTGTAGCTTCTGACCCCGTCTGGCTGCTGGGTGGGGTAGCCCCTCCCCCTCACCTGTCCAATGGGGTGGGGGAGTTACCTTGTCTCTCTCCCCATTTCTTCTCCCCGACCCCTACCCTCTATCCCTCTGGTCCCCAGCCAGTCTGGCTGTCCCCAGCCTCCCCTTTCCACATCCCCCCATTTCCCCCGCAGTGACCCCCCCCACTCAGAGTTTCCCTCTATTGCAGCCCTGTTCCACCCGCCCCATAAGTCTCCCCGATTCCCCTACATCGCCCCATCCCCCCTTCAGCCACCCCCTTCCTGGCCGCCGCATCCCCCTCCTGCCCCCGGCCTCACACATCCCTGTTCTCCCCTCAGTCCCCCTGTGGCCACTCCCCGCCCCTCTTCAGCCCCCTTCCGGCTGCCCCCACGGGTTGCTGTCCCAGCCCCAGCAGGGCCCGGCCGGGCTCCCCCCGCCCCGCACACACCGGGGGCTGGCGGCAGCTTTCCCAGGCCCGGGGCAGGGAATCGCAGCCGGCTCCGCGGGGAGCAGCCCGGGGCCAAACCCGCCCCCTGCAGCCCGGGGGTGACGGGGGGGGGGCGGGTCTCTCTTACCTTCCCCCCGAGCGGGGCCCCCCGGGGCAGGGGCCGGGCCGGGAAGGGGCCCTGGCCGGGCTGGGGGCTCTGCCCTGGGAGAGGCTCCCGGGGAGCAGCGGGCAGGGCCCGGCTGGAGGTTCCCCTCTCCCGGCTGCAGCCCGGGCTCCGGGCTCCCAGCACCAGCCGCCGGGGCTCGGGGATCTCGCCGGGAGCCAGAGTCCCCGCAGCGGCTGCGAGTCACTTCCTGGGCCGGGCCTGAGCCCCGCGATCGCTCCCCCCAGAGCCGCCCCCCAGCCGCTCCTGGGTCCTAGCGATCAACTCACCATATATCAGGTTTCAGAGGAACATCTGATGAAGTGAGCTGTAGCTCACGAAAGCTCATGCTCAAATAAATTGGTTAGTCTCTAAGGTGCCACAAGTACTCCTTTTCTTTTCACCATATATCAGCATCCCTGTGCCCGGCTCCTGTTACACTCACAGGCTCCGAGGTCACAAGGGACCATAGAATCATAGAATCATAGAATATAAGGGTTGGAAGGGACCCCAGAAGGTCATCTAGTCCAACCCCCCTGCTCAAAGCAGGACCAATTCCCAGTTAAATCATCCCAGCCAGGGCTTTGTCAAGCCTGACCTTAAAAACCTCTAAGGAAGGAGATTCTACCACCTCCCTAGGTAACGCATTCCAGTGTTTCACCACCCTCATAGTGAAAAAGTTTTTCCTAATATCCAATCTAAACCTCCCCCAATGTAACTTGAGACCATTACTCCTCGTTCTGTCATCTGCTACCATTGAGAACAGTCTAGAGCCATCCTCTTTGGAACCCCCTTTCAGGTAGTTGAAAACAGCTATCAAATCCCCCCTCATTCTTCTCTTCTGCAGGCTAAACAATCCCAGCTCCCTCAGCCTCTCCTCATAACTCATATGTTCCAGACCCCTAATCATTTTTGTTGCCCTTCGCTGGACTCTCTCCAATTTATCCACATCCTTCTTGAAGTGTGGGGCCCAAAACTGGACACAGTACTCCAGATGAGGCCTCACCAATGTCGAATAGAGGGGAACGATCACGTCCCTCGATCTGCTCGCTATGCCCCTACTTATACATCCCAAAATGCCATTGGCCTTCTTGGCAACAAGGGCACACTGCTGACTCATATCCAGCTTCTCGTCCACTGTCACCCCTAGGTCCTTTTCCGCAGAACTGCTGCCTAGCCATTCGGTCCCTAGTCTGTAGCTGTGCATTGGGTTCTTCCATCCTAAGTGCAGGACCCTGCACTTATCCTTATTGAACCTCATCAGATTTCTTTTGGCCCAATCCTCCAATTTGTCTAGGTCCTTCTGTATCCTATCCCTCCCCTCCAGCGTATCTACCACTCCTCCCAGTTTAGTATCATCCGCAAATTTGCTGAGAGTGCAATCCACACCATCCTCCAGATCATTTATGAAGATATTGAACAAAACCGGCCCCAGGACCGACCCTTGGGGCACTCCACTTGATACCGGCTGCCAACTAGACATGGAGCCATTGATCACTACCCGTTGAGCCCGACAATCTAGCCAGCTTTCTACCCACCTTGTAGTGCATTCATCCAGTCCATACTTCCTTAACTTGCTGACAAGAATACTGTGGGAGACCGTGTCAAAAGCTTTGCTAAAGTCAAGAAACAATACATCCACTGCTTTCCCTTCATCCACAGAACCAGTAATCTCATCATAGAAGGCGATTAGATTAGTCAGGCATGACCTTCCCTTGGTGAATCCATGCTGGCTGTTCCTGATCACTTTCCTCTCATGCAAGTGCTTCAGGATTGATTCTTTGAGGACCTGCTCCATGATTTTTCCAGGGACTGAAGTGAGGCTGACTGGCCTGTAGTTCCCAGGATCCTCCTTCTTCCCTTTTTTAAAGATTGGCACTACATTAGCCTTTTTCCAGTCATCCGGGACTTCCCCGGTTCGCCACGAGTTTTCAAAGATAATGGCCAATGGCTCTGCAATCACAGCCGCCAGTTCCTTCAGCACTCTCGGACCATCATGAGCATCTTGCCCAGGGGTTCTCACCACCAAATTTGGTGGCCTCAGAGTGTGGCCAGCAACTCTCGCTGGTGCCCGCTCTCACACTTGCCCCTATAATCCCAATTAACTTTACTAGAAACCAATAAATATGCACAGAGGTAAAAGGAGGGAACACTCCCCTAGTGTGGGGAACTTTTCTGGCTTCTACCGAGCCCCAGAGGAACTGGCTAGCAAAAGGATCTGAGTCTTTTACCCAGAGGCCTGCATGACCTCGAGGACCCCTTTCCCCCCTGCCCGCTTCCACTCTGGACCCGTAACCCAAGGCTGGGCCCAGGGCTCCTGAGGCACTCGACCCCCAATGTTGTGATCACTCAGGACAGGTGTCCCCATTGTGGGGTGTTCTCTCCACTCTGGAAGCTTCCTTCATCATTGCACAGAGTTAAGAACAAATACAATGTATTAAACAGCAAGTAATAAAAAGAATAAGAAGAAAAGTGGGAAAGATGAAAGGAAAACATGTCACCCCGCTCTGTGGGGGGGAACCCCAAACAACCCTCTCTGGACTGCCAGGGCAGTTCACAGTCTGTCCCTCCCACCTCCCAGGCCTCCTGCCCAGGCCCGGGCTGTGCTGCCGGGATGCTCCGGGTCGGACACTTACTCCGGTGGTGGCTACACGCCCTCAGGCTCTAGGTCAGGGGTGGGCAAACTTTTTGGTCTGAGGGCCACATCAGGTTTCCAAAATTGTATGGAGGGCCGGTTAGGGGAGGCTGTGCCTCCTCAAACAGCCAGGCGTGACCCGGCCCAGCCCCCTATACAACCCCCCTTGTTTCCTGCCCCCTGATGGTCCCCCTGGGACCCTTGCCCCATCCAACCCCCCCCTCTCCTTCCTGACTGCCCACCTGGGACCCCTGCCCCCATTCAATGCCCCTGCTCACCGCCCTCTGACTGCCCTAACCCCTTTCCACACCCCCGCCCCCTGACCACCACCCCAAACTCCTCTACCCTCTATCCAACCCCCCCCCCCACCGCTCCCTGCCCCCTTACCGCACTGCCTGGAGCGCCAGGAGAGGTAGCCAGAGCACCAGGACAGGTAGCCGTGCTGCCCAGGCTGAGCCAGCCATGCCACCGTGCAGCACAGAGCACCCGGTCAGGCCGCGGCTCTGCAGCTGTGCAGTGAGCTGAGGCTGTGGAGGAGGGGTAACAGTGGGGAGGGGCAGGGGCGAGCCTCCCGGGCCAGGAGCTCAGGGGCCAGGCAGGAGGGTCCCATGGGCCAGATGTGGCCCGCAGGCCGTAGTTTGCCCACTCCTCACTAGGTGGCAGGACCCTTCTTCCTAGCGTCAGCCTCTTCCTGTCAGGGTTATGATCCCCCACCCAGTCTGGCCTGCAAGGCCTCTTGGCTGAGGGCCTCTCCTTGCCTTGGGCCCTTTGCCCAGGGTCCCCTTCGCTCACTGCTCCCGGCTCCCGGCTGCTCCAGTTTCCCTCTGCCTCCAGCCAAGCCCAGCCCTCCTCTCTCCTTAGCCCCTCCTGGTCTGCTCTGGCCCAGCCAGCTCCAGCTGACACAGAGGAGGGACCCCCGGCTGCTGACTCCCTCATTGGCCTGCCTGCCCTGTCAATCAGGCTGACCTAGAGCATTGACTCCTCCCTCTCGTCAGTCTCAGGATCTTCATTTCTCCTTGGCCCTTCCCTTTTCTTTTGGTATTAGGAGACAGCCAACTGATTAAGACAGCCAACTAATGGCCAGCCCATTAAGTTTCAGTAAGGGGCCAACAATCCCCTTACTCCTATAAACATGAAAATCAAAATTTATTTATTGCAGGCTAGTAAATCTGCTGCTGTGAAAAATGGTATTTCTATATTTATTAATATTTTTCACAACCTCTCAGCTAGTGACTTGGGTTGCCAACTTGATAATATCTGCACATCCACCAATGTGATATATGTCATCATGTCCCAGCAATGCCCCTCTGCCATGTACATTGGTCAAACTGGACAATCTCTACGTAAAAGAATAAATGGACACAAATCAGATGTCAAGAATTATAACATTCATAAACCAGTCGGAGAACACTTCAATCTCTCTGGTCACGCAATCACAGACATGAAGGTCGCTATCTTACAACAAAAAAACTTCAAATCCAGACTCCAGTGAGAAACTGCTGAATTGGAATTCATTTGCAAATTGGATACTATTAATTTAGGCTTAAATAGAGACTGGGAGTGGCTAAGTCATTATGCAAGGTAGCCTATTTCCCCTTGTTTTTTTCTCCCCCCCCCCCCCCCCGACGTTCTGGTTAAACTTGGATTTATGCTGGAAATGACCCACCTTGATTATCATGCCACATTGTAGGGAGAGTGGTCGCTTTGGATGAGCTATTACCAGCAGGAGAGTGAGTTTGTGTGTGTATGGGGGTGGGGGGGGGTGAGAAAACCTGTATTTGTGCTGGAAATGGCCCACCTTGATTATCATGCACATTGTAGGGAGAGTGGTCGCTTTGGATGAGCTATTACCAGCAGGAGAGTGAGTTTGTGTGTGTATGGGGGTGGGGGGGTGAGAAAACCTGTATTTGTGCTGGAAATGGCCCACCTTGATTTTCATACACATTGTGAGGAGAGTGGTCACTTTGGATGGGCTATTACCAGCAGGAGAGTGAGTTTGTGTGTGTGGTTTCTGGAGGGGGGTGGGGGGTGAGAAAACCTGGATTTGTGCTGGAAATGGCCCACCTTGATTATCATGCACATTGTAGGGAGAGTGGTCACTTTGGATGGGCTATTACCAGCAGGAGAGTGAGTTTGTGTGGGGGGGGGCAGAGGGTGAGAAAACCCGGATTTGTGCTGGAAATGGCCCAACTTGATGATCACTTTAGATAAGCTATTACCAGCAGGAGAGTGGGGTGGGAGGAGGTATTGTTTCATGGTCTCTGTGTATATAATGTCTTCTGCAGTTTCCACGGTATGCATCCGATGAAGTGAGCTGTAGCTCACGAAAGCTCATGCTCCAATAAATTGGTTAGTCTCTAAGGTGCCACAAGTCCTCCTTTTCTTTTTGCGAAGACAGACTAACACGGCTGTTACTCTGAAACCATTTAAAAAATGGACACTCACGCAGCAGTGCTGGAACCTCCCCTGCCCCGCCTCTTCCCCCCCCACCCGAGGTCCCATCCCTGCCCCCACCTCTTCCCACCGAGGCCCTGCCCCGATTCTGCCTCTTCCTCCAACAGTCTGCCCACCATCCACTTCTCCCCTGCCCTGCTGAGGAGG